AGCCTATAGTATAGCATCACTTATTAGTATTAGCATATTACGATTAACATTAACATTAGCATTGGTAGATTATGGTTAACATTAGCATATTATTATTATCATTACCATTAGCATTTTATTAGTGTATTATTATTATTAATAGTATTAATAATAGTTGTTATGTAGAACTAGGGTTTTGATTATGATTAGTATTAGGATTAGACATAGGACTGTTTTTAATATCATGATTATGACTATGATTAACATTAGCATTAGCTTATTATATTTATCATTAACATTAGTGTATTAAGATTATGATTAGTATTAGTATTAGGGGTAGGATTAGAATTACCATTAGGATTATAATTAGCATTAACCTTACCATTGGCATTCAAATTAGTATTAGCATTCACATTCACATTAACATTAGCATAGCATTGGTATTAATATTAGCATTAGCATTAGCATTGGCATTGTCATTAGCATTAGCATTAGTATATTAGTATTAGTATTAGTATATTAGTATTAGTATTAGTATTAGTATTAGTATTAGTATTAGTATTAGTATTAGTATTAGTATTAGTATTAGTATTAGTGTTAGTGTTAGCATTAATACTAGCAAATTAGTACTAGCAATAGAGGTGGCATGGATATGTCGCAATGTCGAGAGTTAAGAGTAGATGTGGCATAAAGATACTCATCAAGTCGGAATCTAGACTCTGATGTTAATTGCAATCTTGTCTACAAGGAAGATTTTCAGCGAATATGAATTTAGATCATAAAAAATGTACATAGTGATTCAACTACACATTTTCTTTTTATTATTTATATGAATAGTTAATTTTGCAGTCTTAGATATTTTTGCACTTTATATCAATTTTGGTCAACTCCAATGAAGTTCCTTTTCATCAAGATAATATAATATAAATTGCATTTTTTTCTTACACTTTTATGTTATCATTTATGTTTCAGTAATGCGTATTACTGATTGCATATGAATAACAAAAAATGAGCAGGTTACTCGCAAGGTATTATATGAGTTATAGGTGATGTCAAGTTATAAAACACTTTCTAATAACTAAGTTTCATGTTAAGGATCCGAGTGCATCAGATGAGATAATTGTAATAATTGGGTCAACTGATATATTTTTTTGCACCCATTAATGAAAAGTGTCAGTTTTGTGAATAATCATTTTTTTGTCGATCATACCTGGAGAGGAGAAGGTCTATTTCAGCTCCGATAGTATGTGCAATGAGGAGTTATTATCGGATGTTAACGCAAAAATATATTCTCCGGAGTTTCTCAACACCATATCATGCACCGGAATTCCACCACATAAGTTGACATTGAGAAAAAGTGTTCCCGTTATGCTCATCAGAAATATTGATCAGGTCAGAGAATTGTGCAATGGAACAAGGCTTCAAGTTATTAATATTACTCATTTGTAGGTTTATTTTAATTATACTACGAACTTGCTGTGGACTCCGCTCACTATATTTTATGAAGGTAATTTTTTTACCGTAATTTTATGCCATTAAACAGTTATATTAATATTCATTTGGTAACAATTTACCTATTTTTGTATGATCATGTACAACATATGCAGATCAGTTGCATTGTATCGAATTTGTTGCATATGTTTAGGGCGACTGGTATGAAACAAAATAACATTGATTGTTTGGATCAAATTTAAAATTTCAACGTTCATATATCATTATGGTTGTACAAATTTGGCACCAATGATATATGCGTTCTTATTGTGAGAAAATTAAACTTTCAATATTTAGTTTTTTCATTTATTCCGGCTTATTTCATCTCTTATACCATAAAAATTAGTTTTTTTTTTTAATATTTTCTACTTCTGATTACATATCAATAATTGATCTTACTATTTTGAGAACCTTTTTATTACTCAATATTTTATTTACGATGAATACCCCGTGCATCGCACGGGTGTAATACTAGTTATCTTTTAAAAATTAACATAAATATTTTGGGACGAGAGAGTATAGCAATACTCATGTTCTCACTCCTTCCAATATTATATGTCGTCTTTTTATAGCTGCATATATATTAAGAAACTCAGTAAATATGCATAGATTGTAGCATAAAAATATAGGAAATCACTAATTTACATTTATCATTAATTAGTAATTAAGAGTGATAAAGGCAAAATTATATTGCATAAAAAAAGGCAATTAATGCTCAATTGAAAATATAAAATGACAAATTATTTGGGATAAAAAAAATTGTCTAAAAGAGACTGCATTAACATTTAATTCTGGTTTGATAAATTAAATTAGAGGTCGTAAGCGACAATATTTATTGTGGTTTATAAAGTATATTTGAGCAAGTTTTTCATATTTGTTAAATATCGTGGGTTACGACTTCTAATTTAATCATTTGATTCTTCTATTAAGAACAACATAAAACTGACTCTGAAAATTTGGAGTCGAGTCGTAAAGTTGATTTTCTTCGTATTTAATTTTGAGCCTCGACAACATTTTTCGAGGATCTTGCTACTTGAATCTCGAATCAAACGACGAACTTTGACGACTATGAGTTGAAAATATTGGAGTTCTTTATGGATTTTGACGCTTCAATGTTCCTACGATCTTGACTTCGTAAGGCCTTTATTTGATGAAGTTCGCATTTGATTTAATGAAGAACGTCTTGAATTAAGATTTATTTTCTTTTATTGTATACTAGTAAAACACCCGTGCGATGCACGGTTATTACATATTATTAAATATTTTTAGCGGAAAATACAGAGAATCTCTATTTATAGTAATATGACAAAAGGTGATGATAAACCTCGGTTATTTATATCATTCTATGCTTACACTAAGTAAAGACTATACTAGGGTCCCGTTTGGTTGGCAAGATAAGATTAACCAAGATAACATTAAATAATCTAATGAAACTCAATTATTTTATTGGAGCTCGCGACGTCCAACAAAAAAACTCACTAGAAGGCAAGATAAGCCAAGATTATATAATTTTGGCGGGTCGACCCAACAATTTATTGGGGATACCTAACATCAAATTAAGACCAACTATTGAGTTAATCATGGCTTATTTGGCAACCAAACGGGGCCTAGGTATTTTTTTATCGTTGATCTACACACCAATGTGTATGTGTATACCAATGTCTATGTGTGTGTGAGTGTATATAAATGATAAAGATCTATCCGATATATTTTACCCGATGTAACATAGAATAAACCGACGAACCTCTTTGACAGAAAGAGGGAATGATTTTCACCTTCTACATATATAGTTAATGAATTAATGAGAGATTAACGACTAATCATATAGAGAAACTGGGAACTAAATAAATGGCAATTTCGAATTTTCCTATTAAATTAATAACTATTTAATGAAATTTTTAATCCGTGTGCAACTAAACGCAGTTCCAAGTTAGTATTAGAAAATGAACATAAAATCTATTTTAATCTCAAAGTAGTTTTTTTAATAATTTTTTTCAGAAGATAGTTCAATAGTTGTGAAATAGCTTTTCACAAATTAATTACATATAAAAAACATGAAACACTTTTCAAATCAAGTTCATAAAGAAATAAAGAAATAAAATAAATAAATCTACAAAAAATATATGTAAATCACTCACCAAAAACAAAATAAGAGGAAAAAACCAAAAACCGAAAATAAAATAATTAAATAAATTTAATTCAGTGCGTTCGTCTGGGGTCAAACCCAGAAAGAAGAATCATCCCTCTTATTATCTATTTCTATATCGCAACTCTCATAAATTTCTTTCCGACCAAATTTGTAAATAAGAAAAATAAATTTCTTGATTTGAATCAATCTTCAGAAGTATGAGCATGGGTGATTTTATCGGTATTCAGCCCTCAGAACTTAAATTCCCATGTAAGCGAATCTTTTTTCGAATCTTTTTTATTCGTTTTCCTCAGATCAGTGAACAAAAAGAAAAAAAGCGGGATTGTTCTTACTTTTTGTTTTTTTCTTGTTAAATTAAGTTACCTTTTTCAGGTTTTTTATTATTATTGTTATAATTAATTTTTATTTTTAGGTTTTCACAAATTCAGATTTTAGGTTTAATTGATTTAGGGCATGTGATTTTGAGTGTTGATTTTGGTTGTGGGCTTTTGTCTGAACAGTTGAATTGAGGAAGCAGAGTTCATGTTCTATGCAGTTGTCGAATAAAACCGATCAATACATCGCTTTTAAGGTAGATTCCCTTCGTAAAAATCGATTCTTTATTGCAATCCATTGATGCTTTTATTAGATATTGATGATTTTTTTAATGGGGAAAAAAAAGGTCAAAACAACGAATCCGAAAAGGTACTGCGTTCGCCCTAATGCCGGCATTGTTTTGCCCAATTCTGTGTGCAATGTTACAGGTGAATTTTTATACCTAAAGAAAATAATTTGGTTTACTCGATAAAATATGGTGTTTCGTGTTTTATTTACATGCGGGTTTCGTTTGTTCGATTTTTGTAGTTACTATGCAAGCACAAAAAGAAGCTCCACCCGATATGCAATCTCGTGACAAGTTTCTTGTTCAGAGTGTTGTTGCTCCAAGTGGTGCAACGAATAAGGATGTAACCCCAGAAATGGTGTGTTATCGTCGTGAAACTTATGTTTCGTATTACGTTGTTCGATCTTTTAATTTTAATTTTTTATTTTATTTAATTGCAGTTTAATAGGGAAGAGGGGAAAGTTGTGGACGAGTTTAGATTGAGGGTTGTGTATATTCCAGCAAACCCTCCGTCTCCAGTACCCGAAGGGGACGAAGAAGGGACTTCACCTGGTACTTCTTCGGCTGAGGATGACATTAAAAAATCCTCGTTTTCCGAGGCTGTGAGTTTTCATCGTTTTCTTTTTGATCTTTCGTAAATTCCTTTTATTGGTTGTTGATTCCTGCGTTTAATTAAATCAGGTAGCTGGCTCGTTGAACAAATTGATGGGAAATTCGCCATCTTCTGAGGTGATTTTTCCACCCCACCCCAATTTCTGCATTGCGTTTTATTGAATATAGATGTATGTTGCGTATAGACTCACAAATTATGGGGCTCGAATCTTTAATTAAAGAAAAAAGAAAAAAAGAAAAAGAAAATAGCTGCAGACAATGCATTTTCAGAGTCGCTCGTATAAAACTCGAAATAAACTATGTTAGAGTAACGCTTTGTTACTTATTAGGGCCGTAACTAGTAAAAGCTTTTTGGATTTTATCTTTTTTTGCTGCTTTATTGTATATAATAAATACTTCTGCTGTTTCTTTAAAAGATGATATTTATATATATAGATATATATATCGGGTAAATTACGGTAGAGCTGGGCATTTGGGATCGGGATTCGGGATCCCGTCCCGTCCCGATCGGAATTTTACTATTTGGGACTAAAACTTCGGGAATTCGGGATTACGGGATTCGGGATTGGGATTAAGAACAAATACGGGATCGGTATTAGGGAATTGGTTCAATCCCGATCGGGATATTTAATCCCGAATTGGAAAAAAAGAAAAAAAA